AATATTTAATAAGAAATATTGGTATCGAAATTTTCGTAATCTTTGCAATTCTTGGATACGACGTCTAATTCTTGGAATATATATTCAATGTTAAAATATAAGGTATAAATGTTAAATATAAATTTTTCATCTCAATGTACTTAGGAATTCTAATCTTCTACTATGTTCCTAAACAACTCTCAAGAATTATAGTTTTATTTCTTCTTAAGTAGCAGTAAATTTATAAATCTATCTTCTCTTGGATAAAATTCTTCAAGATCTGAAATTTTACGATTGTACTTTTTTTAAGAGCACGTAAATAGTATCTCACGTTTAATCTTGCTTTAAACGTAGACCATAAAGTTTTTGTTATCAAATTTAAGGAAAAACGCTCTAGTAATATGAATAAATGGTGAACGTTGTAAGGAAATAAAATATGTTCACTCTTGGAATATTTGTTATGAGATTATTTTATTTCACTTTATGAAAATTTTTTTGTATTTTATGTATTTTGTATTTTGTATTCAAGTTATTGGATTTATTCTGCAATATTTGTTCACCGATTAAATTAAATAGTTAGAATTCAATATGTGTCATATAGATACGTATTTACTATATGAAATAATGATTGTTCAGATATGGAAGAATCTAAGAATATTTAACTTTTTTAAAAAAATTCAGCAGGAGAGACATGAATCACGAGATTTTATCAAAGTTAACTTACTTTTAAAGAGTTCGTTTTATCCCATCCTTTTCTTAAGCTCTGTTAAAAGAAGACCCATTAATCAGTACATTCTTTGTCAGCGTCAATTGCTCGTCTTTCTACAGTCTTTCGTCAAAAGCTGTATACAATTTCATTGCTTTTAGTATCATTATAAAATATTCCAATAAAATTTAGTAAGGCATCGTTAGAAGTTTTTGATTAAAAAATATTACGTAAAATAATACGAATCATTATAATTAAAATAATAATTATTTTTCATTATACATACATTATTATACAAATGATAATGTTAATCTAATTCAAATATTTCATAAGACAATATTTTTCATATTTATATGCTCATATTTAAATTTTCTTAATTCGTTTTAAAAATTATATAAGATATAATATTTAAGAGCAGGAATTGCTGTCTTTATATATTTTATTCGAAATATATTTTCTAAAATAATATTTCTATTTCATAATGGAGTATGATTATCACAAAATCAACGAAGTCATTCTATGATAATGTTTTTTGGATAAAACTAGGCATCGTATTTATTTTTAAAATAATTTAATAATGTAACTTCGATGAAAAACTGATTTAACATTCATTTATACAATCTTTTATCTATCATTACTCATCGTAACTTTTGCTACATTCTCACTTAATATTTCTTTGTGTAGCACTCACAAATCGACTTTTACGGTGGTTTATTCTTTTCAAGTGAGCCAAAGTGAGCAAACCACTGCGAAACAGTTAATGATCCAAATAAAAGTAAGAAATCGGGACAAAGAGTGGAGAGTTGAAAAAAACAGCATGCCCAACCGGAAATAAAAGAAATGAAATGCCCATGGTACGCGTTACGCGGTGAAAACAAAGGGTCGCAATTTTCACGGGCTCTTTATTAAAACCGCTAAGTCCGTTTCAGTATAATGAAATTAAAAGTAAACGTCGCTCGCGATTTATTCTTGCGAGTGCCGTGGCTTTCAGCTTGAATTTTCATGTTCGAAATAGACAGAGATGTATCTGTGGAAAAATCGCTTTTTATCAATCCGGTTTTATCCGTTTGAAATAATATAAAAGTGACGGAATCTTATCGACGACACGAATCTTATGATGATGAATGTGTGAATGATGAATATTTGATCATTAAAGCATTAAGGAAATGAGAAAGAAGAGTATATATTTGAAAGAAGAATAGAAACGTTTGAAATAATTTGATCATATTAAGAAAAAAATAATTAGCACTTAAAGTTTAATTCAATTCAAATGTATTTCAATATTATATAATATGAATGAAATAAAAAACTTAATAATATCTATTTTAGTATCGATTATTCAATATTTGAGAATGAACAATTTTTTTTAAAAACATTAATCTTTTTATCATCTTTGTAAAAATTGAAATCTATAATAATGATCAAAGTGTGCACTCTTTCGATAAATTAATTAAAAATAAAATAATCATATATATTTTCTAAGATAGATTGTAAAAAAAAAAAACAAGAAAAACTCTAAAGCTTTACGATAATTTAAAAAAATGATTGGGTCATTATATACACAAATATAATATATCAGAAGATTAAATTTTATTTTTTATCAAATTTTTCATTATTTTTATTTTATTAGTTGTATAAATATATGTTCAAAGTTTTAAAGTATCGACGTGATATTATGAGCAATGGCAAAGTACAACATGAATATCAACACGATACGTGTACGTCGATAATTGAGGCGCCGAATACATTAAAAGGTCTGCTACCTGTGTCGTCGATGCAGCTAACCATCGAGCTTGCGTGCACGCGTTAAAATCCTTGTACGTGTAATCTTTTAGATCTAATCATAAGATAATTCAGATTTCCATCAGATTATTTTTAAAAAATAGATTTTCATAAACATGATATAAAAGAAGAAAAATTCTAGGAAAAAAATTTCCAATTTGCCCCAAATTAATCAGCAATCTTTAATTTACATCATTGTTCTCTCTTCTTGTATTTTTTTTTTTTATATATTTTTCGAAATTACTATAATTTCCATTTTCTAAATGTCACAATTTAGATCGATATTTTATAATCCCAAATTCCACAAATTTTTTTAAATCTCTAATTTGAGAGATAGTTCCTCTCTTAATTCTTAAAATTCTCTAATATTTTCGCACGGTCATCAAATCGTTCCAACGGTAGGGAAATCCTGATTAAAAATTAAAATTAATTAAGTCAATTTCCACTAATTCCTTTCATTCTAATTCATTGCCTTTTCATCATGTTCAATGGGTGACAATAAAGTCCGAAAAGAAAAGGAATCCTCCGCCACAGACGAGACTTCAAATAGTTTCCCCAGAGTTACATTCCATTCTAAATTTTCAAATTACCGGATTATCTGGATGGAAAGTAGCTGGCGTGGCAGGTATTCGGATCGCTTAACGTCGACTTGCGGTTTTAAGCTCGATTATGTCGACGCCTCCTTCGAAGCGTTGGCTCCTTTTAAATAAAGAAGAAGAAGAATCACGTTCCTAGACGAAACGAATGGCTGAAATTCCATCATGATGGAACCTTGGGCTCCTCCGAGCGATATTTTATTCACCACGAAGAGAATAATCACCGAGAGTGAACGAGATGGGGTTGTCACTCGCTCGAAATGGAAATCTTTAATAATTTCACGTTCGTGTGTTTTAGGGATAATTTTACGTTGGATCCGCGTTGTAAATGACTATAACTATAATCGTCACACAGTGTGATTTTACATAATGGATTATATCGTCCCGTAAGTAATACGATTTTTCATGAAGTTGAATTTAAAACAATGATATCGAATACCATAGGGGTTTTATTTAAAAGAAGAGAATAAAAACCCTTTGCACTTTGTAAGTTTTGTTCGAAATAAATTTGTTGAATCTTCTTTATTTTATTTTATCCTTTTTTTTTTTTAAGATATTTAACCGTTTTTGTTGAAATCACGTTTATAATCACGTTAATTTTATTAGACAAAGTAAAAGTAATATATTTGTAATAAAGTAATGATCGTTTTTAAAGTTTTTCTTTATTTTTGCAATTACTTATAGCGATATTATAAATTATAACTTGGAATAAATAATTAATTATATACAACTTGATAACAATAATATTTAATGCCTTTAAAGTTTGAAACATTAATAATTATTTTATATAAAACATATTCGTTTGTATTATAACTTTATCCATTATTGTTAGATCTAGCAATTTTTATTTCCATTATATAACAGTAATAATAATAATACAAAGTAATAATTACAAATCACAATTAAAATGATCAGTTACACGTTAATTTAGCAAAGAAATATAAGAAAGATTAGAAAGATTTAATTAAACGCTAATTAATCCAAATTCCAAAAGAAAAGAAAAATGATAACTACGTTGTTTAAATCAGTTTAGAAAAGTAGATATCTTATTAATCATAAACCATTTCAGATAAAACGTTGAATACCGATCGGACCATAAAGGATTAACGTAATCGGATCTCTCTGGCGTTCACTTCGCTTAATACCGCTTACACAATTTCCATCGACCCGGTAAGCCAAGTGGTAAAAAAAAANTAAGTCCAAGAAACGGTCAAACGCGAATAGCAACTTCTATATACCCTGTTATAACGATCGACTAACTGAAACGTCTCTGTAACAGGCGTGAGATAACGCGGCCGATCGAGAAACGATATCGTCGTAAGAACCCTGGTCAAGGTGTAAAAAGCGGAACACTTTCGAGAAGCGTGGAAAGGGGAGGAGGGGGGGCAATGTTATATCATTCGATTGTGCCCCGATCGATACGATCTCGGCACACCATTGGATCGTCTCGTTCCAGTGATCGTGGAAAGCGTAAAATCGTTCATGCTGCACGTTTCGCGATTTGTTCGACTTATCGATCGAGTTATGCCGAGAGTTAAAGAAATTGAAAGAATTTTTAATGAATTTTGTTGATGATATGGGAAGAGAGAAAGAAATTGAGGAAATCTTGTTGAGTAAATTTTGTTTGACAATTGAAGGCAATATAGATTTGAGAATAAATTAAATGTTGTATTGATTTTGAAGGCGGAAATGTTCAAAAAGGATGAAGTTGAAAGGATTCTAATTTGGTTTTTCCTTTTTCTCCTTTTTTCTTCTTTTTTTTTTTTTTTCCTTATATAATTGGAGGTTATCGTTAGCAACGTGGATTTGGAAAGGAATTCCTCTGGCGTGGTTTTGGTTGCGAAAATGTCGGGATTTCTGGGAATTTGCACGTATTAAAATTCGCGGTGAACTGGGTCGCTTATTACAGTTAATGGCCAATTTTAATTACACACTGATGCTTTGTTCGTGATATAATTGTTAAAAGTGTCGAGTAGAATATTTATACGAGTGTGTAATCAATCTACGATCATTTTATTAATTGTGGAATTTGTTTAAATTGAGATATGATATATTAATTGCAATTTTGATTAATAGTTTACGATACTTTAATTCTCTAATTATGATTTGTAACTCGTTTAAAAAGTAATTAATAAAGCAAGACATTTAAATTGATTTCGATTTTAGTTTGTATAAAAAGAAACGTAAGTTATTTTTCAAATAGCAAAGACTAAGCCTTGCATTAACAATCAAAACATATTAAAATATAATATAATAATTTAAATTTTCTTTTAAATTAAACGATACAGGAGGATTAATATTTAAACACGTGACAAATTTTTTTAAAGATTATTGAAGGAAAGGATTGGGTCCTCTTTTTTCTGTAATACGTTAATGATATTAATTTAACGTTCAATATATTTCTGACAACCTTTTAACCTGAGATTCAATTAACGTTCGTAATTAAAAAATTGCTTCCACTTTGAATCACGCAGCAACCACGCGACATCGATCAAAAGTGTTAAAACGGATCGTTTCTCCTTTTCAATTCCTACTCGAAACTAATTCCAGTAATAACTCTCGAGAATTCCCCTCTCTGAATACCTCTGTATCTCCTTTTTCCAATGGAAACGCGTCGATTTTTCGAAGCGGCCGTGCCAAAATCCATCGTCTCGCAGAAGGCTTGGAAATCGTTGCGAAATCCCTTCGATCTCCGGCATCTGCCGCCGATATCCCTTCTGCGGAAGAAAATTCGCAACAGAGCCGAGTGGGAGGAGGTGGATAAAGCAGCCTCTGCCCAAGTTTACCAACAAACGACATCGATATCGATATCGAGAGCATCGGAACCATGAGGCGTGGGCCGGTCGTCGTGTTGCTTCTTCTCGTCTGTTGCGGTTCGCTCGAGGCTCGAGGTCGCGACGACACCGGCTTCGTGAACGTTGAATCGATGCGTCGAGATGTCCGCGAAATGGCGTTCCAGGATTTGCTCGGTGAGGGGAGCTCGCCGGAAGAACAACAAGTCCCTAAAAAGCGCATGAGAAATGCTTCCGGTATGTTATCTCATGTCGAATTTTGTTATTCACGAATAACAAAGGGGTGCGTGTGAATTGTTTTTTTTGAAATTTTAAAATTTTTAAGAAACGAGTGGATGAGAAAAATTGTTTTTCATCGAAAATTATTTATTCAAACCAGTTGTTGGAACGATGAAATAATATAAATTAATTACAGGAAGGGTTCTCTTCAAAATCTCGAAATTCAATGTTATGCAAGTTGAAAGTATTTTCTTGAATAGTACAGTGTTCAATGATTCACGAGTATATATACGATAGATTTGTAAGATAATTCTTAAAAATTAGATTAAAATTTTTTGAATCAACGTAATACTGAGTTAATTATTATATTTGTTTTTTGACAAATTGTTATCTCGATTTTATAAATAATCATCTCAATAAAATAATTGTTTCAAAATTTGTGTATTGATATAAATATAGAATAAGATTTTTCTTAACAGCATTCTAGATAGATAATTCTAACTATTTAAGACTATTACTTTCATCATTAAACTAATTCGAGCAATTTAAAACAATTTAACATAAAAAAAATCTCTCGTTTAACAAAAAAACATTGTTGTTTCTACTTTCAAATTATATCGAAATAGAGCGGAAGGAAAGGAGAAAGAGTATTAACAAATTAAAAGAGAGAAAAAAGTAAAAGACATCTCACGAGAACGAAGCTTAAGCAGCCTCTCGAGGCGTTACAGTGTCATGAACGATAACAAGCACGAATAATACGGTGGTTTTAGGCAAATCAGACGAGGGAGGATACTACAAGACATACGGTAGCGACGCCGAGGGCGAGAAGGGTTACGAGAAGGCAACCTACAGCAAGGGCAATCATGGCTATAAGACCCTCGACACCTTCCACAAGCAGGACGGCGACAAGTACGCATTCGAGAAGCATGTAGCCTACGGCAAAGCGCATGCTGACAAGAAAAGTAGCCACGACGAGGCAACCTCTCGTTCCTGGAAAGCGGGTGATCACGAGGGTGCAGGTACGATGAAACTGTACAACCTGAAGCACGTAATTGCGCGAGAACTATACGTAGAGCACAAAGGATGAAGTTAGTTCTTATCAATTTGCCAAACAAGAGGATAGGAATTTGTAACTTTTGATTTTCTAACGCATAACGATAATTGACAATGAGGTATGATCGAAGTAATTATGTTGGCTCAAATTTAATTCAAAAATTTTTTTTGATGCCCCTATTGTGAATGACAAGTAGCATGTATATGATACAACATAATTTTTTTGTAGGATGTACATTTACATATTTTTATTTAATTCTACCGAGAAATTAATTTAAAAGAAGAGTTTCAGACAGCTTTCGAATCAATAATAATCGAATTGTAGGAGATAAATACCATCGCTAAATTAGTTTCAAATATAATGAATCTGTGCAAGCTTCAGCATATTTTATTTGAAATAATGAAGTTAGAAGATAAAAATTATTTTATTACATCAATTTATTATTTTAAAAATAACAGTAATAATATTTAGTTTCAAAATGGCTTCTCGAATAAAGTAATCCTTATATATTATGTATATATATATATGCTTAAATTCAACGTTAAATAATTGAACACGTAAAATAATTAATTATCAAATGCCATTTAATTAGTCGAGAGTCAAGAGATAAAGAGAAACAAACATATTTCAATAATACAATAATGCAATAATTTTATTAACGCGATAATTTGAATTTATTTAGTCCTTATAGTTATCAAATTGGAATAAATTTTGAGGTCGGAAAACTTTCTTCTTTGTAAATAATTTTCATATAAAATATCGATGCCATTAGTCGTACGGGATACTCTAATGAACGTCGATCGCAAGTTTTCCCTCGTAAACTTAGTGGCTCGAGTATCGATCCTCAATAAAGCTACACCATCGAGATAACGATATTAACTGAATGCATTTGTGCTCTCATTTTATCCCAATTTTAACTACGACACCTAGCCATTTTACTGATTACTTCATATAGAAATATATCATTCAATCACTTCTAACTATCGATTATTTTATGCAAATAGAAATTTTATTATTTCTATAATGATAATTTGAGCTTTGAATTTTACAATTACATTACTGGTCAGAAATTTTGGAATCATTTTTCCAATTATAGTTCCATCGAATCTTTCGTTAATTTTGTTATTGCTTGATATAGTATAGCTAAATATATTCGATAATCGTTTAAATTTATAACTTTTGATTAAATTCGTGTGTAATATGATAATAATTCTAAAATCTTTTTAAATTAGATTAACATTAGATTAAGTATGAATATATTTTAATTATAAATCAGATATATTTATTTTTAAAACTATATCTATTTTATATATTTATATTTTTGTACTTGAATTCATCTACATTTTATAAATTACAATTCAAAATAGCAAATTAGATTAATCATATTGATTCTAGCTTATATTATCCCAAATTTCTATATTAATTGCATTACAAATTATAAATTTCCTTAGGCACTATCGTTGATACTCATTATGCAACCGATGAGAGTGATCACGAGGCCGAACCCAACGATCACAGCAGCTATACTCACGAAGATGGCATTCACTATACGGATCATGAACCAAAATCTTCAAGTTACGGACACAGTGAAAGCTACACGGACGGAGACGGTGAGCATGGTTCGTACGAAAGCCACAGCTCTTACTCGAAAAGCTCTGGTGATGAATACGGAAACGATGGAAGCCATTACTACTAATCCTTTGCCAAATGGTTGGTTAAATCCAGTTATTTGACCTTCAATGGAAAATACGATAAAAATATCTAATTTGAAAAATTAAAAGAGTGTTAATGAATTATATTTTTATACATCAACAACTTGAATGATACGCAATGTTTTATAATTTAAAAGTTTGATAAAATTAAAATTCTTAAACTTATTTAAGAACGGGAAATGTTCTAGTAAAATAAATGAAACTTTAGAAATTATATCTTCTTAAAGATTGCAATAAAAATTGGCAATTTCTTTTTATATTTAATCTTTTGGATACATGATAAAAATGATAAGAAACACAAGAAAATATAAGTATAATACACACGTATCAAATTATATTTTATAAAATATATTTGTGAAATATTTTCGATTTTAGAAGTTGAAATAAACGCAAAATTCGATATACAAAAATATTGATTCGAGGATTATTTATTTACAAGCAATTGCAGTTTATTTTAGATGAAGAAAGATAGAAATATAGTAAAACAATTCCATTTCTATCACATCATCGCTTCTCTCTGTCTCGCTTCAACTAACATTAGCTTCAATAATTTTAATGGATAAGTCTCAATCGATATTTTCGTATATCGATTTTTGTTTATTTTAATTTCTAAAATCGACCCTGTTTCGAATATATTAACACGTGTATACGTGTAATTTTTACGAACGGAAAATTTACGGTCATAACAGGGCAAATTAAAGGAAAAATTGAAGCTTGAAATTCAAGGCATGATATTTTAACAGCAATTACGGGCTAAAATTGTTCAACTTGATGAATCGTGAAAGCGAAAAAATTATACAAATTGGACGAACAAAGTACGAACGAAAAAGGCAATGCATGTGCAATCCATGTGTCATCAATTAAAGATTAATCAATTAAATCCGAACGATTACGAGTACAATCAAATCAAAAATGGAACAGTTTTCAACTTCGTTTCAAAAGCGTTCCATGACAGCAATATTCATTGTTTTACCTATATAAATTAATATTTCGTATTTCATACTACAATCGTACAATATTGTTATTAAACATTCCGTAACAAATACATATTCGTTTATTCGTAGCATTATTTAAAAACTATCGGTTTACTTTTATTCAATTAAACAAACGAAGATTTGAGATACATTGTTAAAACACCAATTTATATATATTCTCTTATAACACGCAAGCTATCATTCATTATATATAAGAATCAATTAAAACTTGATAAAAATATGATTGAAAATTTACAATAATAATGAGCAATTTCATTTTTTTATTTATATATGTCTCGTTAAAACATTTCAACAATTTCTATTCAATGACTTTGAATAAACTTTGTAATCATGTTATGCCAATGTTGTTACTCGTATATTTTAATTCATCATCTTGCAAAATTCTTACTTCCTTTCGTATTTATCGAATTGCTTCTAATTGTTGCTTCGCAATATACCGATATCAATTATTATTAGAAGTGCATTGAACGGTTACCCGCGCGCCCCCTTAATCGTTACGTAACGAACGCTGTGTGTAATTTTGATGGCGTGCAAAGGTGGCGAAACTGTTATTACGAAATTTAATGATATTACGCTTGTACTGCATTGACGAGTCGATCTAAATTGCAATTGGTCATCGGTCACTGTTGTTCGTCGGTTGCTCGTTACAATAACGTTGCCGTATCCGACCTCGATTATGAGCCAGACAATTTGTTCAAGATGTGTATCGTGTTATTAAATGATGGATAGTTGCAGGAAAATGAACAACCAGAAAAGTATTCAACCAAGAAAATATCTTACGTTAATATTCAACGTTGATAGATGAGAATAATTGAAGTGCAAAACAAATTTTCGAAATGAAAATCAAACAAAATCTTCCATAAATTCTTTTTCATTTCTCTGCTATTGAAATGGAAGAATATTTTTCATCATCTAAATAAAAACTTATATACAAAAATGACACATTGAAACCAAGCAATAAAGAATTATTTCTCTATAGAAATATCAATAAATATGAGATTTCGCCACAAATAAATTATTTTATTCGAAATATTAATAATTAAATAACAATTTCAATTATTAAAAAAAAAATTATCTTACGAGTGAACAACTCATCCCTTCCAGAAACAAATTATCGACGACTTGACTCGTTCCCTTCGAGTTTACAACAAAGTTAAAATCGCGAATTTTATGCGAACGGTGTATAGAAAACACGAGGTACAAGTCGGTGGCACGCCATTAGCGTTGTCTGTTTCCTCCCCACGAAGAAGCAACGAGACCCGTTTGTTAAAAATTACGACCGGTCACGCGACGATCCGGCTGAAGGGAGGCGAGCGACGTTTGATGCGTGGGCGGCGGGGGAGAATTCGCGATGGCCGTGGATTTGCAATTATTTATAACGAGGAAACTTTCGGGACAGCCGACTCGTTAATTGCGCGAGATAATTATTGTTAAATGGTGCACGCGCGTGACAAAGAATGATTCTCGTCGTGGATTCGGCTAATTCGAAGCACTTGCTCGCGAGGACGATCGCGCGAAATTCGTTCAACTTTTCACCTTTAACCCGTTCACGTTCGTCTGTTAATTTTTCAACCGGGGATTTCGATGAATATGAAACGAGCACCGAGCTGGATTAAGCACGGGGAAATCAATTTCAGAGAGAGGAAACGATCTTTGTATATGTGTTTTTATAATAGAATTTGATTTTAATCGACGAAATTCACCTTTTCAGATGATAATGAGAATAATTATTGGAAAAGAATAAATAAATTTTGTTCGAAAAGCCTGCAATATAATTTATAATTTTTATTTGTAAGATCATGTTGAGGCTATAAGTTTGAATATTAATCGGATTATAATTTAAATATTTCAATATAGAAAATGTGAATTTGTGTTTTGAGAACTATTCGAATAATAAGCATTGTGATATTTAAGAAATAAGATAAATCTCTATTTTAATCTAATCAAGTTTGTCAATCGGAATATCAGAAATTTTCTAAAACATTCATCAGAGCTTTTCCAATTATTCGCAGATCACGGTCTGCCAATAAATCCCAAAAGTACCATTTAAGCTCTCTCTCATTTCACCCTTCATTAAAATTCACAACTTCGAAAAAGACACAACTTTGGGCATTGCGCTATTCCACGAAAATTCCTATCACGCGTGAAATTCAAGCATCCTTCTCCCGTGCCCAATAACAAGCCACCCTCTGGTTCAGCTCGTTTTCAAACTGGCACGCAATCCGTGTTCAAGTGCACTTAATCCGAATCGCATCGTGCGACTCGGGACTCGAATTGTCGAATGTCAATGTTAGTTACCCTTCTTCTCGATCTGTAAAACAAGAAGAGAGAGAGAGAGAGAGAGAGAGAGAGCTGTACCCATAGAGAGAGCGCAAATTAGAAAACAATTTCATTAGCTGTCCAATGGACAACGCCATTGTTCGTGGCCTATAGTTCGATTGGTCGATTGCTCGAATGAAATAGTATCGAAGAATGGCTGCATTGTGGTAGCCGAGGGGAAAAGAGAGAAAGAAGATATCGTGACCGATTCGACTTGAATGCAAAGTAATTTCAGTGAGAGGAATGAAAAGAAAGAATGGTGGTTACGTTGAGCCATCAACTGATTGCGACAGGGTGGCGCTTTCATCTTACCGGGGAACAGCTTCAACTCGGTGCAATTAAGTAAATCTATAGGAAAAAAAGTTAAAAGCAATGTCATCTCGAACTATTATTTCCGTTTTGTTTTTTTTTTTTTTTTTTGTTCAAAGTTGTTTCCCTTGAAAAAGGATTAAGGTCAGGTAAAATTCATCAAAGCGAATTTTCCCTCTAATTAGATGCACAATTTGGAATAATTTTTATACGAATCTAAAATTATTTCAATAATTCTATAATAATCGTCATTTTAATATAAGTTGTCGTCAAAACAAGCATCATTATTTATACCATTTTACGCTTTCTTTTTTTTACAATTCGCCTTTTATTATATTAAAACCATCGTATGTAAAAATATTTTTTAACGTGAATAATTTTAAAATCAATTCTTATTTCGCCTCCCTTAACGAAGAAGAGGAAAAAACTTACGAGAAAAATGAAAAATCTGAGCAGCGTGAGAAAGAGAGAAGCGGAATAAGAGGCGGGTTGAAATGTTTTCGAGTTAGCTGCGTCACTCGAAGCCTTAATTTAATAGTCAGCGGCCTGTTCTTTTCCAAACGAAGGGGAGGGGTGGATACTCTTCAGTGGCGATCCACCACCGCCGCCCTTGGATCTGCTTACAAAGCAATCTCTCCATCTGGGAAGGTCCAAAGGGAATGCCACCTAATCTAATCTCCGTTACGACGATGCCGAGTCCAAATCGAAGTTGGCAGAGCTTCCGGTATCCGGTTTTCTCCCGATCTCTAAAGGAGCCCGACGATGGAGCCTGGGCAGTAACCAATCTTTATCTTGATTATGCAGCGCCAACGCCGGAGGAGCCAATCTCTAGCCGAACAGGCTGCCAAATAAGGTCGTAAAGAGGCCGAATCTATCGATCACCGTTTCAAACTGCAAATTCGGCGAGGCTGATTTGCAATGGAGATTGGAGAAGCCGAGAACGATGCGCCCCATTCTCGAATAAGTAGCTGAGAAAAGAAACTCGACTCTTGTATCGGGCGTCGAGAGGAAAAACGAACCGTTGACTGATTATTCCTGAACAGGAATATATTCGCGAGGGGAGGATCTTAACAAACCGTGGACAAGGTAACAAATAGCAATCGATTCAAATCGATTCGTTGAAGCGAGGAATTATTCGTTAATTGCTGCTTCATTGTCGATTAAATTGAAGCGAATTTTAAACGAATTTTAATATGTTATTCGTCTACACGCGATGTCGATATATCGAAGTTTTATTACGTTTAAAAATTGAATGATTTTTGATTGAATCTATTTGTATATTTATATATTCCTGAATATTTCAAACATTTTTCCTTTTCGAATAATTGATAGGGACATGCAAAGCATTTCTATTATTGATATATTTGATGAAATTGTTTCAAAGGATATTTAATATTTTATTATAAAATTGAATTTCATGGTTAAAAAATTAAGGAATAAATTGAAAAATGGAATAATTCAGCGATTTCGCTCGAAAAGTGTTAAGTATTGCCTTTTTTTTTTACTTTATATTACTCGATTTGCATACATCTTCGAAAACAATTGGAAAACGAATACATTATACGGAGGATAAGTACACATTACAAAATTATACAGCAGTGTGGAGTTTTCTTAACTTGGCGACGACCAACTCCCCCAACTTCCGGCAACTTCGTAACCTAGAAATTCTGGAACCGAATAACACCGGCAAAATCTCATCCCTTTCTACCAACAACAACTTTGTCGATCGATCGTGTCGAATTCGCAAGATTCCTTCGACTTTCAGATATATATCAACCCTGAAATAGTACGTACTTGCTCGAATCGAGCATCTTAAAGATTCAGTGACGTCTCGATGAAATTTTACAAGGTCGTACCAATAAAATCGTCAGCAAAATTTTATAATAAATGGAAATGGAATAAATGGACGAACAGTTGGCAGAACGATCGACGATATATCATATATAAATCGCGTCTCCAACGTCTGTGAAATTCCATAAATTGGATTTATAATTTTCATGAATTCGCATGATTCGAATTGACAACGATATTAGAAGATTTTATGTGATTTAACAGTTCAATAGATATATTCATTATCCAAAAATTCTTATAGGATAGAGTATTATGTCCATTTAACAAATAAATAAATAAATTATACAGGATTTTACAAATTTAATAAGTCTCTTATAAATTTTTCTATTAAAATAACGTGATATCACAATTTCTTCCAGAATTGAAAATTCTGACAAATTTTTATTTTCTATAAACCTTACTTTCACTTCACTATGTACAACGAAAAGATTTTACACAAAAATTTAAGTAAGAATGCTCGCAAAGCATGCACGATTCTATAGAAAACAGATCGATCATATTCCTTTTCAACGAATAAATCCATCCACCGACTTAATGCTCCCAATTCTTCGAATTACACACGACATTTAACGCCATTTCCTTCTTCCTCCACCGTTCCCTAGCTTTTGCATTTAAATTACATTCCTCGTATTCCTACCTTTATCCTTCGATCCTTTTCCCGATCGATTTCCGTGATGTTTGATTACATCACTTCTAATCAGACTAATCCAACCATCCCATGTTTTTTCCCCTCGAAAAACGCTGGATCATTTCATTACTCGAGGCTCGAGAAAGTGTGAAAGGTACGCCCCACGCGGCGGAAGCGTTGCGGTCGCGCGGATGAAAGCGGAATCGAAGGAAACGCTCGGAAGCCCCTCGAAGGAACGATCGAACCGTGGATATTTAAGTGTGATCGGTGGCTACGCGATCATCAGTCGAAGCTGATGATCGAGATGCTGCGTTTCGCGCCCGTAATTCTATTATTGTTGCAAGCGATCGTATTGCAAACATGCGTTGCTCGAGAATTGGTGAGTATTCGGGATCGTCGAGACGTCCAGGCCGAGGATGGGTCTGTCACCTCGATGCCCTCGAACATCGAGTCGAAGACTGATCTCGTGCCAGCTGCCTCTGGGCATCAAGGTCATCGTCACGAGTCCGGAGGGGGGCAGAGCCATCGCTCTGATCACCACGAGGAACACGGGGAGGAGGGTGAGAAGGGGTACAAGAGCCATCACCATCACGACAAGATCGAGAAGGGTGAGCATGACAAGCATCATCATTCTGGTCATCACGAGGAGCACGGTGGCCACAAGAAGGGGCACCACGATGAGCACGAGAAGTACGGGGAACACCACGAAGGTGAGAAAGGGCACAAGGCTGGCAAGTTTGGGGAGAAAAAAGGGCATAAGAAGGGACACAAGACCAAAGGATATCACAACAAGTTCCACAAGGACGAGTATCACAAGGAGCATAAGTTCTACGATGATTACCACAAAGGGGGTCATCATAAGAAGCACGGTGACTTCCACGGACATCACGAGAAGAAGGAAGGGCAGCATAAGAAGGGTGGTCATCATCATTCTGGGTATCACGAGGATCATCGTGGTAAAAAGGGTCATCATGACAAGGGACACCTTGACGAGGAGCACAAAGGCCACCATGGGAAACATGGACACGATGAACATTACAGTCATCATGATTCTTATGGAAAGAAGGGTGATCATCATTCTGGGAAGAAATATGGATACAGCAAAGGACATAAAGGTTGAAGAAGAATCGATTTCAGAACGATTCTGGATTCTTTCAGATTATCGTTGTTGTTTTCAGTTTAAGGATAGACATGTTGTACTCTATTCTTGTGAATCGACGATTTAAAAAGATTGCGATTTGTTAATTGACTGTACTTTGCGTGTAAGCGAATATTGTTAAAATCAAAGAACAAATTGTCTTTATCACTTTTTTTAATAATAGAGGAATAATAAATTAATGTTTTTATACGAAAAAAAGAAAGTCAATTTTAAATAAAACGAATTTTATATTATACTTATTATATCGTAATATTGTAGAATTTGATATTAAGCTAACTGTCTTCAATGATGATTATTACTACTTTACACATCGCTTATATCTCCGTAATACAATGTGAAATTACACGCTTAACGGAACGTTATTTACGCCATTCGTTATTCATGCTACACTCGTTTAATACCTTAAATATTTCACAGCCGTCAGTCTTAAGTTTTTCCAAAGTGACGGCGAAATAATGTATTGCGATACGATGTATATATATATATATATATGTATATATCACGAGCAGTATTGTGTAAATACATTATGTAAATATGCGCACGGATATAGTGGCTGCACGCGCGAGAAAAAACATCGATATAACGTGCCTCATTGCTCTCTTTTTCACTTTATCCGCGGTGTGCTGCAGATAAGTTTCTCCGTTGCACATATTTGTCTCATAATACATCCATTAATCAAATCGAGAGGATGTGTTCCTTTCTTTCGATAAAAATTTGATTTTTCATCGTTGATACTCAATCGAGCGACACTTACTGATAATTCTACAAAAATATCAGAATGACCAAATTATTACTATGATTATTATAATAGTAGTCAATAATTTTATTATCCATTTTCCAAAATATTAAACGTATTTAATTTACCAATATATATCAAAAAGAAGAAAAAAATCAATTTTGAAAGCAAATGTGTAAATGCAATTATTATTTTGAGCACGTTTCACGAAAGCAATCCCATAGTAGATATTGAATTGGATTATAATTTAAATTTAAAATTCGCAATTTTTCATGAAAGTAACTGAAAGTTTTCTGTGAGATGTTTTATATCAAATCTATTAAACATTTGACGATTGAAATAACACAGTAATAATAATTATTCATAAAACGCATACATGCTAAGAGGTTAATCTTCGCCTTACACATCTTATTGATTTTCCTTCGTTGTTTATTCACGTTCATATCGAAGACATCGCTGCTCGCACGAATATTTCCATCGGGAAATTCTTTCTATTTACCCATCCACGTCCTATATAATCCCACACCTTCGAAAAGTTTATTCACATCGGTGTGGGAACACGTTTGCACGGCCATCGTCGCACTGTGTGCCCGCGCAAGGAAGCGGCTACGGTAATAACGAGAACGAAAAACAATGTGTTCGGCTCGAAATTGGACCTACAATCGAAAAAAGCACAGCGGAGTGTGTCCGGGCCGTCCGGGATTTTAATCAAACGCGATCGCGCCCGCCTGTAATCCGGACAATTTCGCTATTTATGCGAGCGCGTCCCCGATACGTTGGAAAATTGTTTCATGTAATGCAATAAAGGCTTTTCCATCACGGATCCGTCCCGCACGCTCGAAAAATTTCATTCCAACCTGTCGCGAGTTTAAATCGCCGATGAAACGAGCCGAGTGGCAAACAATTAAATTGTATCGTAAGGAAATTTCATTGGAAGATAAAAAAATTTTTATTTTTCAATTGGATACTTTTAAGTGCCCGTTTTTCGCATTCGAAGATATATATATTTTTATTTCGTAAAAATGGCGTAGCTTTCATAAACTGACTGAGAATAATTCGTAGCTATTTTCTTTGTGTTCGTTGCATTGATTATGATATCATAGGTAGTTGGATTCATCATGATTTCTATGCTGTGGTGATAAAAAATAGATATGGGCTTGAAATCTTTATCTTTCATCGTCGATAATGAAGGAAAAATTTAAAATACTCGAATAACTTATAAAATTTTGAATAACTTATAAAGTTTCCTTCATAAAGTTGTTCATGTTTCATAATATTAAAAAGATATGACTATTAAAAGAAGAAGAATCCATCTATTATGAATCTAATTGTAAGAGTTTGTTAATCGATTATACAAAACTACAAAAATGATAGATATTATTCTATCTTCTACAGATACGTTACGTTTAAATTCAAAAACATTTTTCTTTTTAATTAAACTATTTCTCCCCATACATTGGCTGTCCATTGGTCAGACTTTCGAAATAATAAAGGAATGAAGACGTTCAGAGAACATAAGCTTATCCCAAGCATTTAATCCGGCTGGCTTATATCGTCAAGGGCTCTCTTCCACGAACTTATCGTGCAATTTTCAATGGAAACAAGAGAGATCTGTAACTATACGAATTTATTATTTCATCAGAGGATTAATCGTCCAATATGGAATTATTACTCTCCCTATTTTGTGTTCATATTATTATTTATATACGGAACTTTCATTCCATTCTCTTCAGAATATTGTATTTCGACAATCGTAACAAGAATCCGTCCCTCTTTTTAATTTCAAACATTTCACGTGTGCTTTAACAGTGAAACGTATTAAAACGAAAACTGTAATTTTCATTAAAATTATATTTTACTCGGAGATTGAACAGGATGGACGTACCAGCCGGTTGGTTTTTCAGTAAACGAAACAAATTGCTCGGTAATGTTGATTTTTCGAATGAGAACGAATTCCGACACATCTTTGCCAGACTATCGCAAGTGTATTTTAATTTTTGTTCTTTGTTGCTCATACGCGATTTAATTCAATTTTAAGCTCGAGGAAAGGTAAACAGAGAGGAAGTTGTTGTACCTCGGTTTGTAAATGAAAACACGAATATTCTGTTTACCGTGAAAAATCTGTGAAATTGAACGATTTAAAGAATTCCGTAAAAAAGAAGAAAAAAAAAGAGGAAACAAGATATATCGGATTTATATTTAAAAATGATTCAAACTACGTACTGCATATTTGTATGCAAATAGCTTTTTTATGTATTCCGTTTTCTGTACATCCGTGTTGCGCTTAGGAAACGCTAAAAAATTTAAAAATTTACTTTACACTCGTCTTTATTGAATCTATTAATATTTTATTCAAAAGTAGAATTCGTGTAAAGATATATTTTATTATATAAAATGTGAGAGTGTATACGATTTTAAATAACGAAACTTAACAAAGAATATTTAATGTATTATATGATTTAAAGGAAAAAGTAGAAAATGAAATAAGACAAATTTAAGATTTCGTTATTTCAACATTTTCTTACTCGAAACGAAACTTAAATATCAATATTCATTGATTGTCAATGAACTGTAATTAAAAATTAAAACTTGTATTAATCATCCTTTCAATAATTTTTATCCCTTAATTATATTTTAATGAATAAACTATGAATATATTCATGCAAATATAGATACAACTATAACAGAAATAGAATTCGAATATCGAATAGTATAGAAATCCTCGTTTCATTCCAAGTCATTCATCATTAAACTCGATCTTTTGTGCATGACAGATCATCGATCAGAGGTCTTCTTTAAATTCCATGATCTAAATTTTCGTATTCCAGACATGGCTTTTCATCGTATTCACTTGGAATTTACACGTCCCGTTTAATTTAAACGCTTTTCATTGTCCTCGACTCGCATACTAAGTCCTCGTTACTTGCTACTTGCGTGCCGGTGTAAACTCTATTAGCAGCTTCGTTCACGACTCGATTTCATTAAAATAAAACCGGTTACCAGTGGAACACTACCACGTTTTTAACCATTCCTCTACGAATTATCCGTTAGCGACTAATTGAACGTATATATGGTTTGCAATAATGATAGTATCTCAAAGTGTCACATGTAAATTTTGATACATTATTGATAAAATTCTTCGATTAAGAAAAAAGAATCTTGTCTTTTCTTGAATAAAAGTGTTTAAATCGATGATCAAGATATCTGGAGTGAAAGTATTAATGGTTCTGATCGTTCTTTCATTTATTGATTGGGAATCGAATTATAGTGATTTAAACTCTTTCTAATTTCAATAAGAGTTCCACTAAGTTTAATCAAATTTTTAAAGCAAGTTTCAATCTGATCAACTTTATAAACAAGTTTCGCATAAACTAATCATCAATGTATAATAACGCCCTTCTATGTTAAATGTAATGTAAATTTAATAGTTTTCATTGAACGCACCCAAATGCATAGTTGATTAATTTTCAATAGCATTTCCTATATGCATGAAAACAAGAATTAGAGTAATTGGAGCTATTACTCTAATAATAATCTCTGCATATATTGATCAACTGAACATGTTGCAACGCTACAAAATTCAGGTTAAATTACGCAATTATCAGAAAAGAAATGTAATATATGACACAGCTCAATTTATCTGAATAATTCAAATAATTGGATTTGGACAGCACATTCACTCGTTAAGTGAAATTCGAGGATGAATTGTTTGAAGTGTTCACGTAAATGGAGTAATATTATTTTAATAAAATCATTTAGGCGATGATGAAAAGCGGGAAAAAGTAAAATATAAACAATCATTATATCAATAAAAATTTCGTTTCGACAAATCGATATTATAATGAATAAGATTATTATTCGACGATAATTATTCCTTTATCTTTCTCTGAAACAAACTTTAAAACAAACGGTAAACAAATTTGTGGACATTTTTCACGCATCCCTGGAACATAATTCAATCCGTAATCAGTCGGCAAAGAAAAACTTTTGCGAGGAAAAGCGTAGCATAAATAAAAAACTAACTGAAATCAAACAGGACTCTATATGGGGATAATTCTCCTTCCAGTTTCAGAGAAAATGTTTCTGCTTTAACTAACGTTTTACAAATTGAGCGAGAAAGTTATTTCAATGTTCTTAATTTGATACAAATGAATCGCCAACAACAGCATATAATACAGAAAATACAGTAGGATTAATATAACAGCGATACTTTATTCAATCTCCATTCATGATTTCGTCAGTTATGATGGAATGGTCAATTTACTTGCCAAAAGTTGTTTTTCCAACTATCTAAAATTAATTATATTAATTTCAAAATTAATTATGTAACGGTGATG